TCCTCACTGTGATGAGAAGGGTAAAGTTTACTGATGGAAATTCCAGCTTTATAGCACCAGTTCTCTGAAAGAACATAGGAAAACACATGATCCGTTAGATGTAACATTCAGGGAAGGGTTACTTCCAGTCAGAATTATACTGAATTATGATGAAAATACATCATCTGCTGTATTCACAGACCTACATTTGACTTTGCTCAGTCTTCCAGACTGGAAAAATTAAATGAGGAATGAAAAATGCAAGATTATCACTTTACCATAGAATCAGTCTGGCTGAGATAAACCATAGAATATAAATAAGATGCAACAGTCAAACAAATGTTAAAACAGGCATTAGCATCTCAAACTGTAAGACAGCTTAGATTTTTGTACAATGCTGCAATACACCTCTCGTCTCATCGAGTCAGCAACAACACAATTACTACAGCAGCAAACCGAAGAAGCTGCCACTCTGCAAGCTGTCACCCTATCTTACACAGCAGGCAGAACTGCTGACCAGCAACCCGTGTTCTCTGTGTTAACATCAGGAACCACATCCAGCAGCTACTAAAAGATCTCTACTTCTTCTAAACTTTTTTTAGTTCCCCCCCCTCCCCCCAAGGGTATTGTTCTCGCTGTGGTAATACCTCTCTTTCCTGTCTAGTCACAGTGGCATTCCTTGCTGCTCAAGTAAATGCAAGGCCCTTATGTGATTGTGCTTTGATGTTATTTTATCTGCTCGCTCAGACACAGAGCCAGCCTTGTAAATGTCATTGGTTTAGCTGCGTTAATGCACTGATTAACTCCCAAGCCCACAGAAAAGCATTGCAGATACATCAGTTTTGGTCCCCATCATCTGTTCGCAAGCCTTTTATGGCCAACAGTAAAGCTTCTTGGTACCATATACAGAACAACTTCCTGGGGTACACTACATTCTACTGTATACTGCTTAGCAATTAAGAAAACTATTGAGGCTCATAAAAATGCATGCCTTGCACTTGTTAAACTTTGGAATGTGTTTTGCACTGCTTATTTTTGCAGTTTGTGCTAGCTCCTGCTATGGCTGAAAATCTGACAAAATTGTCACCGTCTCAATTTCAGTGCATTGCACTACAGCAAACTGTGCAAATTGATGGACCAATGAGCAAACACAAAAATCCCAAGTTCCTCTGTAGGCTGAAGCAAGATGTTTGCTAAAAGATACACTGTCTGCCATTAAACCACAAGTGGTAAAAGATGAGATACGATGTGTATGAATAAAGCCAGTATAAAGCAAATCACACATCCTGCCATCAGAGCAGCGTCTGGAGCAAGATAATGCATAGAACAACTGAACAGGGCCGTTTTCTCTTCAGACTGTTCTACAGCTTTCCCTTTAATTTTGCAAACTAAGTAATGGGGCTTGAAATCAACGGGTTGTTCAAGAGACCCCAAACCACTAGTATAGCTTCTAAGAAAATGAGGTGATACTTACTAAGTAAAGGACCAAGAACCCAAACCAGATTGTGAACATAACTTTATTTTACTGAGAGAATGGGAAGGAAGGACTTGTAAATTCCTTCACCCAGACTAATAGGAACTTTACTAGAAATATACTGGGCTCTCCAAATGCACGGTACCATGTATATTCTGCTTCTGAAGTTGAAAGCATAAACTTAACCTGAAACCACCCAACCAATGAAAAGAAGAGAGAGAGAAATGATCAACCCTTTCTTACGATCCAAAGGCTGAAGACTGAACATAGGTTTTGTTTTACCTTGGAATACTCCCCGCTTCAGTGTATGCCCCTTCCTTGCACCGTCTCTTTAGCATGGACTAATACGGCCTTGAGAGCTAGATAATATTGGAATTTTTGTAAAGCCTCTCAGAGGATTCAAACTTCTAAAAAGATATTAAAACTTGTTGATTCAATTGGACATCCACTTTCTGAGGTAAAAAGTTAGTGGTGAAATGACATTTGTCATTGCTATTGGATAAAACCACTGTTCTAGTAACAGTGACGCACTTATGCTGAAAATTATTTAGATACTACAACTTACTGCTAACCTCTGCCTGGTCACCTCAGTGAATTAATCCAAATTCTCACATATAGCTTTGTTCTAAGCAGCCTGATGTTAATCAGAACTCCAAAACATTTATTGCCAAAACACTTTAACCCATCCCAAAGATTAATGCTTGTATACGTTAAAGACTTGGAAAGGTACCTTATTATTTTTTCTGTAAGAGAAATATGAATGTCTGGAACGAAGTGAAAAAGGATTTGTTTCTGCATACAAAAGTAGATAAAAATAGCTAATTTATTTTTTTTATTTAGATCAACACTTAGTAACTCTTATTCTATCAGAATTTTGTGAAAAAATCAACACGCACACACACAACTGCAATCTATCCCCTTGAATTAGAAAATTAAAGAGTTTAAGGATGATCCACAATTTGCATTCAGCACTACATTGATGCTGTAATTGCTATCATGTCCCTTTAATGTCTATTCTCCCATTTGCTGTTTTCTTCCACCCCTGTTCTCAGTGTATAATAAAGCTTATCTGGTATTTTAAGGGTAAAATTATTCATTTCACCATTTCTAACAAAACAGTGCAATAGTCATACTAGAAGTATCGTGCGATTCTTCCCTTCCTGAAAATCAGTGAGTTTTTACCACAAAACTTAGAAAAGTCAAAATGGACAAAATTCCGTATGTATCTGGTATAACTGAAAGATTGGAAGTTGAACACACACCAGTAGACCAAACATTGTTAAGGTTGCTTTTAGATTTCCAAACATTTTCATATAAAATAATCAATAAAAATTGAAGTTTATCCCCAACACATGCACCCCTTGCCCCTCCCCACCATCACCTGCCTTATGTCAAAAGTAACTTTAAAATTACACTCCCACTCCTCTCCCCCTCACCAATTGCACATTAAGACATGGACTTAAAAGAACAACATAATGCTTCAAGTATGCTTCATGCCAATCGTCAATAAGAGTCATAACATTACTGAAAAAGTACACTTATACTTAGGAAGCCTGAGAAGGACTTCCTGCAGAGTGTGGTCAAACAACACTTTAAATAAGAAAAAAGCACCCCCCAACCCAAACCGTATCCATCCTCTCCAAAAAGAGTAAAGTGTAAAATTTTCTTTGGACCTAAAGAAACAGTATTAAGATTTACCATCTGAATAAGAAATAACCCCAATAGGAACTCAGTTTTACAGTGCTGCACAAACTGTGCGCATCAAACAGCAAGTCATACAGATACTACTGTTCAGCTCTACACATACAGACTACAGGTGGCATATAAGCATACACATGACATACTGGCCTGGTCAGAAACAAGATACATTTTTTAAGGCTGGAAAACCTGAATAAACCTTTGCATCCAGAAGTATTTTTTAAATTCTTTCCTCTTTTCATTAGGGGATTTGAACTTCTAATACAAGGGTGATGATTTCATCAAGAAACCATCAGCAATATGAGAGCATGGAGCTTTAATGTGAAACTGACCACACATCCTCTCATTTGATCATGCATAAACAAGGATCCTGATTTTAAGGAATAATGGATGGTATGAAAGAATACTCATTTTTATAGACAAAAAATGCTTCTGGAAACACAAGCAGGTTATTGAACAGATACCAAAATCTGGAAAGTGTAAAAGGCATATATGCGTGTGCGTGTGTATATATATACACACACACACAGAGTTGTGTGTGCGTGTGTGTATATATACACACACACACAGAGTTGTGTGTGCGTGTGTGTATATATACACACACACACAGAGTTGTGTGTGCGTGTGTGTATATATACACACACACACAGAGTTGTGTGTGTGTGTGTGTATATACACACACATATATATCATATATGCATTTATTCCAGCATGTAACTGTATAACAATATGGTTTTTTTTCTTTTCAAATAAAGGGTTTTAATTTAGCAGTTGTAAAAAACCCAACAAAACCCCAAAAGAAACTAAGCAGACCAAATATGAAAAACCAAAAATGTTATGCAAGTAGTTTTATGATAAGAGTGAGTCACACACCAGCAGCAGAGGAGTGTTGAAACTCATAGTAATAAATAGCTCCAAATTAAGAATTTTCTAGAACGTTTCCTTAGAAGACAGGACCAGTATTGTTTAGATGATCCTGCAGAACACCTTCACTCATATATATTTAATTTTATAACACTAAAACAGACACAAGAATGTAGACTGCAAAAGATGCTGGATTCAGGACAGTATACGTAACATTTTTTTGTTTAAAGTCCTACTGGCTTATTCACTAAGGCTAGACAGCAAGTCATATGATCCTATTTGGTGCATTTTCTACTATGGTCAAGATCAATAAATGGATAGAGCCAAGGACCTGTGGTCTAACCTGCTGTGGTGCATCCAACTGCATCAGACAGGAAACAAAATATAGGACCACTGTTTGGTCCCCAACTTTGTATCTTGTTTCCTAGAACTGCAGAAGTGGAAACAAGACTGTAGTGTTTTAAGTGACTAGACAAAGATAGCAAGAAGTGGCATTTTAATGTGAATAAGGTTACTAGGCTTGTGATAGTACTGCATCAAAAGAGCACACGGGACCCCACTACTTGCAACATCTTGGTAATGTCATTCAATGACTCATTGACTTTAGAATACATGTATGCAATAATAAATAGATCAGTTATGTAATAAGGCAGTGTGTTGAACATGCATTCATCTTGTGGACTGGAACACCACAGAGAGATACATGATACCATACACATTCATTAAGACCAAGTATTTTTGTTTGTGTGTTTGTTTTTCAAGGCTATCCAGGCAAACTCTTCCAGAGCATTTTCTTCTTTAGAAGAGCAGTCCTCTGAGTCTCGTCACTTTTCCTCTCCCTTATCAAGAGATGATGACTGGCTTTAAGGAAAAATAATGCTGAAGAGGGTTGTTGGTTTCTATCCCCTCCCCCCCCAGTTTTGGTTCCATCATTCTGAATGTTTAATTTAAAGAACAGTTTCTGATGCAGCCAGATGCTGAATCCTCAGGAGATTCCAGATGTTTCCAGATAACTCTGTAGTTTACGGACTGTGGTTTTGTCCAGCGAGCAAAGATCAAAGTCAAAGGTTGTATTTGTGATATGAAAGTGTCCAGTTTCTTCTATAAGATTTACTATCTGAAAGGAAAGAAAAGATGCAGCTGAAAATTTCAGCACTTTTACATGCCCACTTGAATGTATTAACATGCCACTAAGTATCATATGACAGGCACAAAACAAGTCCGATTACCCCAATATCTGCAGGTTACACCATTATCCTGATCACTCACTTCCTTTCTGATACAAACTATGGTCCAGAATACAGTATCTCAGGCTATGTTTTGTTTTGGTTTTTTTTTCAGATCATCATCAACCATAACGCCAGCCTGCCCATCTGCTGTTCCAGCAAACATTACCATTGAGAATATATTTTTTAAATGTTAAGAGAAAATCTGTACATTTTCTAAGTCAGTCTTTAAAAAAAAAGTGGCGCCCAGTAGCAGGATCAGAGGCAATGGGCACAAGCAGAAACACGGGAGGTTCTCTCTGAACATCAGGAACCACTTTTCTGTAAGGGCGGCCAAGCACAGGCTGCCCAGGGAGGTTGTGGGGTCTCCATTCTTGGAGATACTCAAAAGCTGTCTGACATGGCGCTGGGCAACTGGCTCTAGGTGTCCCTGCTTGAGCAGGTCAGGGTTGGACCAGATGACCTCCAGAGGTCCCTCCCAACCTCAACCATTCTATGATTCTGTGAAATCAACAGTACATATTTAACTCATGCCTTTCTGCAGTTTTGACATTTTTAGTCTCCAAATTGTAGTCTACATTTTTTAAGTATGGTCATACTCAACACTGAATTGCTGTAGCAAGTAACCCCAGATATGTTATGTTCTAAGATATGCACCTACCTAGAAAAACCTATTCAGCATCTTGGAAAGACAAAGCATTATTCGTCAGATAGGGCTAACAGTGCCGGCACACTGTGGCTATGAACTTCTTATGTGCTGCTTCATACCAAGAGACAGACATGCCAAGTGAGCACACCAAAAGGCACCCCATCCTGAAATGGACCTCTGGGTAGTGTCATGGACTGACAGAACACTGCTCTTCTGCTCAATCTTTCCAACCATTCCTTCTGCAGCAGTCAGGCTAAGCCCAATGTCCTCTTTGTATCCTTCAGTTTGCAACCCATTTATTTCTAGGGCTTCCACATATACCTCCACTGAAGTGCTAGATACTCCTTGCTTGTTTGAGCTTTATTGCTTCAACTGTTATTCCTTTTCCACAGCTGGAGGAGACACAAACCTACGCACACATGGCTTACAGAGCATACGTTAAAATGACAAATCTGGTAGGAATACACCAATTTGAAAAGAACAATGAATGTAAACTAAATATTTTGTAATTTTCTGCTCCCCATTTCATTGTATAAACAGATGTTTTTTTCTCCTCAGACCACAGAAGAAAAGACTACATTGATGATAAATGAAATAACTTCATGTGTATTGTCAGGCGTGGAATGACACAGCCCAGGGTGGATTAAATAGAATAGAAACAAGATAAAATAACAAGAGGGAAATGCCTGTTACAGTAAAAATCTCCATTTCCAATCACCTCCCATTTTCCAGGCTGGAAAAAAATAAAAGTAAAATCTGTTTAATTTGGTTTGCAGCTGTCCAAAATTCTCAAAGTACTTGGGAACAATCCTGTTCTTATTAACACTTCATTTAAATCTGTGCCTCTTGGCCTTAATTTTTTTTCCATATGGGAGTTTTTAATCTAAAATTACTAACTTCATTTGTCCACTTGTTGATTCACAGATTCTTGTAACACTTTTCCATCACCTACCTTTCTGCAATTAACATGAGAGAGAAAAAGAAAGTCAAATGGGACAAAACTGATTGTTACCAGAAGGAAACTTTTATATGTAGTATTTGTCATTTTCATTTTTGGCACTCTCTTTAGCCTCATCTAAGAGAGAAACTAAGGAGTCAATCCAGCCTCCTTTTGTAAATTTAGGAATCTAATCTCAGGCTTGGTCTCCAAATATGCACTGTGTGACAAATAAATGGCTGTACCAGAAGTCAAGGCCAGGAAGATGTAGCTATGCTGAACAATTTTGTCTAATGCTTCCTGGTGTTATGGTGGAAGAATACCACCCCTCATAACCCCTATAGTAATATATGTGATTTTAGAAACAAAGATTACATGAAAGTGTTAACACATTTTTAAACAGCACTGTGTATTTTAAAAAACTGATAAGCACTTTTATTGATCAGGTTCTGCTTTGGGCTTTTAAGCTCTAGGCCAAGGGAAATATAAACATTTTAAACATATTCATCACCCACCCCTCAATAAATATAGCCACTATGTCCCGGCACCAGGTAAAAGAGACTGACATGAACCCCAAAATTTTTAATGGATGTACAAAAATGCATCAAGATAAATCCAGACAACTCAATGAAAAACACCCGTGAGCCAGTCAAGGAGGAATTCATGGCTTACAGTATTAGCATAAGCATCCTTATGCTATTCAGAAATACTTGAAAAAGAATAAAAGGTTGAGATTAGATGCCAGGAAGTCTGACAGTTATAATATTAAAAACACAGCATTAAAATGTTTCATTCTGGGAGCTCAGGCTGCAAAGAATAGAAATAGTCCATTTGTTCCTGCTATAGTAAGCTTTGCTTTTCTGCTGTTAATGTACATCTCTGTTTACACAATGTCTCTCCAGCTCAGTTTCATCATTATCCATCATAGTACAACTATTTATCTGCCTTTAAACAATCAGATGAGTGTGTGTGTTTAAGGAAGCCAAAGTGCAACCGATGACAGTCATTTTTTCAGCTTATGGAGGGTTTTAGGCCATTTGATAGTTTCCAGACCTGCAAGTTGCCCCTTTGCAGAACATTCTCAGAAGACAGTTGCCATCTGAAGTTAAGCACCTTGTGGACATGACCAATGTAATTTTCAGCAGTGCTGCAGACTCTCAATTTCTCCCTTATGCCTATGCTGTCTAGTGCACTGACTCTAAGGAGATTTTTCATCAGCTGAAGATACGACTTCTGATGGGTCAAAGTAAGAGACAAAGTTGTATCAGAAATCATGTTGCCTTTCATGGGGTCATGCTAATATCACCTGCACTGAAAATGCAGAGTTGGGAACCGAGCTTTAGCCAGCTAAATTTGAATATATGGCACATGCAGCATTAATATCTGATTGCACACTCAGTTATTCCTACTATTTCACTGGAAATCACAGAGTTTAAAAAAATCCCAACCACCTCATCACTGTAAATCCCAAACCCTTTCTTTACAGTGAAATGGGTGGGAGAGAGGTTTCTTTTTAAAACGTAATTTCAGACCAATTTCTGTCTAGGCATGGTCCAATATTCACATCAAAATTGCTCAGGTGATTCTGACAGGACTAATTTCTAGGTCAAATGTTCTTTTTCACCTGCCTTCTCCCTCTTGGGCAATTCTTACATAAGTATCATTTTATATCAGGATCACTTAGCGACACAACCAGGCACTTGCAGCTCACTATCACATCTCTCCTGCCTCCTCCCTCTTTTTTGCAGATTTATTTCAGCTTCCTTTAAGAGAGTATCTCAAAGAGAAATACTGTGTTGGGAAAGAGCCACATACTCAAACAGATACATTTTTCTCATTCCCAGCTCGGTTGCATTCCTGTTTGCTGTCAGACCTATGGGCTTGGTAAAAACTGAGTTTGCAAAAACCTGTCCTCTCCTTTTCACATCCCTCAGCATAAGTTTCAAAAGCCAGAGCTTTTGAATGATCAATGCCTTCATTCTTCTCTTGCAAGTCCCTTCTCTAAAAATTCCTTAAAGCTCTGTGGGTAGCAGACTTTGACATGTGCAAGAGATTATTACCTGCCCTGACATAAACTAGAGATGACATTCACCACTCAGGAACACAGAACTCCACCGCCATTCCACTTCAACACTACCATAGCCTTTAAAACTCTTGCAGCTATTTACAGTTTGCTATTGCATATTTTTTGCTCTCAATCCCTCTTCTCATGCAGTAACCACCATCCCTTTCTGCAGTTTTATCCCTTGCTCTCCTGAACTTTGTACCTCCTATAGTCCCTATACACTTGTATTTCTTGGTCTAGAAGTTTCACATTCATTCCTTAAGACTTTCACAGCTCTATACTCTTTTTTATTTCTGTGCTCACTGGAAGTATTTCACATTAGTTTCATAGTTGTAAAATAGTAAGGACATTTAAGATGGGATGACAGTTTATTTGTAATGCAGAGAAGCACTGATTCTCTGCAAGTTATCCATTCAATATTGCGAACATATTTCTGTAAACTGATAAAATCATATGAACTAATGAATTGCAGAATATTAAGGTTTTAAAGGCTTTAAAACTAAACTGCATAATTTGTTTTGTAACAGCATAGGCCATTTGCTAGTGCAGACTGGGTAACAGACAACCGGTAAGTAATTTGGCTCTTCTACTGAATTCTGGTAGACCTCTTCTAGCCAGTATCACACAGTTACCAGCTATCAGTACAGAACTGCACCACTGCCCTAGCCTGCACAGCCATAAATCCCACTTTCACTGGGGCTTTATCGACTGCCTGCACACACTCCAAACAAAGGGAAAGCAATCTACAAGGGCAGATCCCCAGGAAAGCAAGGCAACACCAATTCTACATTAACCTAGCTTATAGTATAACTAATTAAACACTATGCTATGAGAAGTCATGGACTACAGTATTAAAACTATATTCTTTGTGAAAGTTGTGAGGCGAAGGTCAATTAATGAGTGCTTTCTCTTGTCTGATAAATACACTCAGGAGAAAAGAAAAAGCATATCTTTAGTTTAACATGCACAAGAATATACTGTTCTAAATTTCCAGCTCAGTTATGTCTCTTTTCACATAGTTTTTCCTTGTATTAGTAACTTCCCATGAAGCAGATTATAACAGTATTCTAACATCAGACTGAAGAAGCTTTAGTGGATGAACCCATACTTTTTCTAACAAAGGTAAATATTTCTCCCCCACCAAATATACTTCAATGCTACTAGAAGAGAAACAGGATCATGGATTCAACTTGAACCATTGTATTTGCTTGGAAAATATTTCTTAGGATGACAGGAGGATTCTGATTGGAAGGCTGAACTCTGCAGGCTAGAACAGTGGTGCAGTTCTGTACTGATAGCTGATAACTGTGTAATACTGGCTACAGAAGTCTACCAGAAGTGAAACCATACAAAAGCTATGCCTTGGATAACTGGGGAATAAGTGCTCAGGAAGCAAAGCTAGGGCATGAATTTACAATACGGTGGCTTTTTCAGATTCACTTTTTATGTGAACTCTCTAAAAATTAATGAATAATGCAAAGTGGAGAGTGTGTTGTAATTCCCAGCTTTTAGCCTCCTGTACCATAACTTCCCAATGTAGATAAAAATTTGCCTCTGCCACCATTCTGAAAGTGTGCTTTAGTTCCCTCTGTAGACAAAAGGGAACTTGGGAAACAACAGTACATTAAATAGCCAATATGCATCATTGTGTACAGTGACTTATGAAATCTGATAAAGCTACCAGAATTCCTCTTTAACGAAGAATATCCTTAACCAAGGTCTTCCTTTTCACTAACCTCACAATTGTTTTCTCAACTTTACTCACAATATTGAGCCTGAACTAATAAACAGATTAATGCTGGGACTTACTAAATATTTTTAACACACTTATCCAAGTGTTGAGAAACTTGATGAGTGATTGAAACCATTTAGAAGTGGTAAAAAATTCCCTCTTTACAAGATGTCCATAACTGGAACTAATTGCACTAAACATAATAAAGCCATCTGTGCTACAATTACATCTGCTTTGTTAACAGTGCGTATTGTTGAATATTTCACAATTTGTAATCCAATAGCACCTGACAATGCCACCCAAAATGAAGAATACTATTCTTTGTTCTTACTATTGCATAAGTTTTCAATAAATTTGGAGCCTTCTTGGTTTGCACATTTTCATGTTTTACTCCGTCCATGACTTCTGAAGACTCAATTAATATATTGTGGTTTTGCCCACAGGGAGTTTTGCTTTGAACACCACATTTTCTTTTTGCCATAGAAAACATCTTTGTTTCTGAAAAAACAACGGTATTTCAGAAAAAAGCAACAAGATTTTTATCAAGTCATGGTGCACAGCTGTATCCATTCACCCATCCTGTTTTCATAATTATTGATACAGTATGTTGAGAAACATAATAATGGATTGGTGAAAAATGTAGCTCATAGGATTTTTTTTTAAAAAAATGTCATTTAGTGACAATACAATTTAAAATGTGTAAAAATTCCCTAAGCTGCACCAAAAGGGGTAATGGGCTGTATATGGATTATACAGGTTTGAAGGCTATTAAATCTGATTAGAGTTTTAGATGAAGGGAAAAAAAAAGACATGACTTCACAATTTCAATGAGCACACTGTGATATTGCATAAGAGTGCTCCTCACCTGCTGCAGTACATGTCTCTCTCTCAATGTCATTAATCTTCTGTGGAGCTCTACTAGTTCATCGAGATATGCCTAGAAACAAATTCCCCCCCCCATAAACAACTTGTTAATTAAGTCATAGCTATGTATTTAAAAAAACTTCAGATGTCTTCAAAAACAATACAAATTGAAGTTTTATTTTAAATCATCTTTGAGCTAAATTTTCTTATTCAGTAGTCTGGCTTTCTCTAGCATAATACAACCCAGATATAAGTTTTTGCGGGTTTTCTTAGGTATTTCACGCTGATAAAAATCTTATTGGGTGGTCCTTTGCTGTAGAAGATAGTATCTATATCTAAACTGTGGCAAAAAGTGCCAAACAGACTGGGGGTGCCAAAAAGGCATCTTTAAAAAACATGTCCCACCTTTCCATGTAAAATCCAAACCCAGAGGCTCACCATGAAATCCCTCTTTTTCTCTAATGCTACATAATTGATTTTCTGCGTCAACAAGGACATAAGGGGAAAAATATCAAGCACTATTAATCTGATGGTAAACTCCACTGTCCCCCCCTTCCTGGGGTGCCAACTAAGTCCCACCTCTCCACCCAATTACCAACTTTCTCCTTCAGCCTGAACCATCAGAAACCTTTTCTTCTTTTAAGCAGAGAGACATAGGACACCCAGCTTAAGAAACCAAAAAGCGTATGCATCAGGCCACTGAAAATCTAGCAACATACACTGAAACTTTGGTCTCCTGCCTCACATTATCATGAAGTTGACACTAATACCTTTAAAATATGAATCTTCAGGGGAACTTGTCCACACTGGGAAACTGTGGTATGTTCACTCAGTCTAGAGCTCTTACCTATGGCCTGATGATGCATTTTAAACAAACCCGTCTTTCTCAGTGTTAAATGGTAACTGTTGCTTCGTATCATTCTAGTTAACATGCTAAATCACACTGCCACTTCCTAACGTGCAGCCCTCAAGGGATTCTGAAAAACACTTTTTTTTTTTTTTTAATGGATTGATTTATTGGCTAGGAATACACCTATGAATTATCCTCTTCAAAAATGATCACTTCATCTGTGAAGCACAATGCAAACTCATGGTGGAGAGTAGATAAAATAAATAATAGATGGCAGATTCTCTACTGGTGACATTTGCCAAATCACCACATAGACTGAAGAGAAGGAAAACACTTTCAAAATAGAACAGACGAAAAAGAATTACAGGGAAAAAGAAAAAAAAATAAGAAAAGGATCTGCACCTATAGGAACAAAGCAAAAATGTACTTATTACTAAGATTTTAAATCTGTAACAAAGATTGGTGTTTAGTAAATATATGAATATCACAGTATGGACTAGTTTACCGTTACCTCATTCTCATTTACCTTATCACAATCCCCATTCTTTATTTGTTTATCAGATTTGTTTTGCTTTACCGGACTTTTCACTTCTAAAATCTGGAAAAGAAAGAAAATCTTGTAAAAATTAAATGCATCATTGGATACAATTACATATGAAAAAATCTACTATCAGTCAATAACACAAAGAACATAACGTCTGGAGAAAATGTAGTCAAAACTCAAAACTGAGCCTTTCGCTCTTGAATCCATACAACCTACTCATACTTTTCAGAAAAAAAGCAGCTTACAGCAGAAAATGCTGAGTTGCTGGAATAAGGTGATATTGGTATTATTAATCCTTAAAAGAATTAATCTCATGTTACTTAAAGCTTCCTCAATACTTTTTTCTATCTTTTGCATGCTGGTAGGATAAGAGGTCTGATTTTGCACATACAAAATGGTGCTGAGGTACTCTCCAGTGTCTTTGAAATTTCACGTTTAGTATATTTTTCCTGGTTTGGTTTTTTTTTTTTTTTTCCCCCTCAATGCTGTCTCTTTTCTTCTACAACAGAGACTTTGGAACAGTCTTTGAAACGACCGCATGAGTTGTAACTGAAAAAAAAAAACAAACCCCTGTTTGATGGCAGTTTATCTTGCACTTTTATGGTTTCCATACAAAGCCATTTACTACCACGTATGCAAACCAATAATCCTTCATCCAGTACTGAACCACAGTCAAGAAGAGCATGTCAACAAGCAGAACACCATGCTTAATATGAAAATGTTAGAACTGAAGTGAGGAATATTTGGGGGAAACAGAACTGTTGATTGTTCTTCCAATTTTTGCATGCACAACACACATTTTTTGAAGCCAGAAGTAAAGTTAAAAAAAAAAAATCACCATGTCATTCCTAACCTGGAATATGATCAGATTTTCTGAAAAACATCACAGGAAAATACATGATCACAGATAATGGGAGATTTTGTTTCATTGTATGTAAGACAATCGTCAGCATGATTATCTCCAAACCACACTGCACAGAACAAAACTCATCAAATAAAACAAGGAAATCAGACATGTAAAAGCAAGTTTTCTAGACGAGCAAGAAGCCTCACTGACAGCTTTCTGTAAGTTCCCTCTCATTCCTACTTCCCTTGTTATAAATGACTAAAATTGCATATGTGGTCCCCAGGGTGACCAGCACCATACAAATACAGCAGGCATGCAACTTTTTCCCTATATATGGAAAGCAACTGCAGACCTGAGTCAACCTTACCTAAGGACTTACTTAGGTAAAAGTGATGCACAGACAGAAAGCAGAACATACTTTCCCAAAGGAGAAACGCTGTTGTTTGATTCAACACCTCCTGGGGTTACTGCTGTATAAGGCTAGTGGAAGAACAAGTCTTGCAGACCACTAGGCATGGATCCAGTACCTTTAAGAGACTTTTCTCATTTTTAAAGGAAGAAAATTCTTGGTTTCAAATAGAACCTTAGCAAAAAGACAGTATATATTTGAAAAAGTGGCTTCCTTACAGTGCTCTTGATGTGTAGTTGAAATCCAACATCTTAAGCACTCCTATTTCGATAAGACATAGCACTAATCACATCTGAGGAAGGTTACGGAAATATTAACTCTGTATTAGCTCTTAAATTCTATGAATGGACTTAGTCAAGACAAGCATGATTTCATCAGTCAAAAGCATCATCCTGACAAGCAGCACAATGCTACCAAGCAGAGATTTCAAATGTGGCTACGGTCCCTACAATTTGAATTCTCATAATGCTTCCCTAACTTTCTGATTTTCAGCTCAATTATAAAATTCAGCTCAATTATAAAAATGGAAGAAGGTATGTGACATTCAATTTTAGCTGGCACACTGCTATGGTTTGGAGTGTCTAAATGCACAGGTAGACCTTCTGTTAGATCACTGAAGGGGAAAGTAACATGGAAGATATGACTGACTGGGTTGCTGATATTGAGATTTACAATTAGTTAACGATTACATTTCCCCTGTATAAGTTAGCCTTCATTAAACAAGCCATAGACAGATGTTTTATTTTTCTTGTGCTTATGTCTGCAGTAAATGCAATATTCTTCATCTTCATGGTTTGCTTTTTTTCCCCAAAAGACTGTCTCAAAAACATGTAATTTTTTTACACTTCAACTTAAAAAAGCCTGTAGTGTTTCTGGTGGATAACAGTATGTTTTCTAGACATGGAATCTCCTTCCTCTTTCTGTGCACTAACTATTCCCTAGGTTTTTCTTCCCCATAGTGTATTTGAACTTAACTGACATGAATAATAACGTTTTGGGTTTGCACTATCAGTAAACTTGTATTGGAAACCTTATTAGAAAAACAATGACAATGAAACAATTTCTGCCAGATAATTGAAACAGTTAACCCAAGAGATATAGGAAACACTTATCCATAAAACTTACCATCTAAACCACAAACTTGTTATTACCTGTAGACACTATCCTAGCTATATCAATACTATAAACAGCCATTTATTGCCAGTCAGTAAATTTCATGACTGCTTTTTGTGGATGATCCAACTAAAACTGGGAGTGAACTATGGCTCCCTAAAATAAGTTACAAATGATGAATTTTATAAATTATGGGGTTTTTTTGAAAGAATATCAGCTTTTATGTTTGGTTTTTATATTTAGGGAGCCTTACTTACTGGGGATGAGGTAACTCTCAAACTCTAATTCTCATTTGTCCTTGATGTATTTTCTAGCTCTAGGTTATTTCTTTTCTCTGAAAACCAGAACTATACTACTTCCCTACCTCAAAAACAGTAGCAATGTTTGCTCTTACAAATATGGAACAAGTACTCTGATAGTGGAGTAAAAATGATTGTGTCTTCTAGTGAAGTAAAATATATTGTGCCTTCTAGCTAAACATTGGTGGGGAGAGAGGGGAAGAGATGAATGAACAAAAAACTCCTGAGAATGAGCCTCTCGATGCAAACTGTGTCTCCTGATGATACAAACCCAAACCTGTATCAACTGTACAACTGATGCTGTAAAGCAAGTTTGCATTGTTCACCTTGCAAAGCGAATTCATACATAAAGGACATGTTTCTTGAAATACCGATGAAAACATTACTTTGGTCTACAGTATTTGCTAAACGACATACTTCTACTTCTCCTGAAAAAAAAAACCCTCTCACGTTAGTTTACAGACTAAGCAACTGCACTGAAGTAGTCAGAATGTCCTATCAGCTCCCCAGGACAGCATTTATGAATCCTGACTTTACCTGATTGTTGCTGGTTTTCAGTAAAGGTGGTGCTGGTTCATGATGTAGTGGTGAGGAAGCTGCACTGCTGTCAGTGTCACTGCCATCACTCAGGCTAACCCTTTGAAAAAACAGAGCCAAGAGATTACACCTACAGACAAAGGGCTGTTAACATGGGTGAATCAAGCTTGCACCTTGAGGTAGGACACTAAGAATGACCCCTCACTAAGCAAGCCATCATTAATCAAGGTCACGTGGAAGAGAGTCATCTGAGCAGGGCTGCACTCTGGAAAAAAGCTCTGTGTAGCACGGAGAATGAGGCTGCCTGCCCGCACTTGGCTGATATGACATGTCCGGTTAACAGCAGCTAACATTACAGACACAGTTAAATATTGAGAACATTAAACTGCTGTTCCCAACGTTCCTGGAGTGAGTCTGCATCTCTGTTCACAGCCACGGGGAAGGAGGAAAATGTTTTGTAGAGATACTTTTCTGCTCTTCTACAAGCTTTCTAAACAGCTGCACTTCCCACTTGGACAAGTGCTTCACGGAAGAGTTCCTTGGTTTTTGTCATAAATAACACTCCTTTTCCTGGCTAAAATTAAAAAAATCTTAATATCTCAAGAGAGGGCATATGAAAAAGCTCAGCTCCTACTCAGTCTCACCCTTCATTTACTTAGGAACAACAGGGAATATTTACTTGTTGGAAGAAAAAAAAAAAAGTTATTTGGGATAAAATGAAGATAGAGAAACGTCAGCCTTAAGGTTTTGTTAAAAAGCTGAAACAAAATCTCCACACTTAGAGACAAGCTGAGCTTGAGACAATCATTTATCCAATCACTGACACAAACAAATTCTCAAACTGCTAGTCATCTTGATCTTTTTCTCCTTAATTCCAGCTGCTAAATTGCACCAGGGAAACAGCTGACATTCATTAATGTTTTCTTATTACCTTCCCATTTAAGCAGTAGGTGACACTGACGCTCAGGTGCTGTGCACTCACAGCAAAATCCTGTGGATCAGATAAAGAACCACTATGAAAAGGTTCAAGAGAGACTGTTCGAGGTTTTCCATGACCTTCAGCAACATCCAGATAGAGCTTCAGGCCGCCCAAAGAATAAATGATTTTTGGAATGCCCTCTTAAGGTTGCACCTAGGATGCAGAAGCATTTTTAAAAAGCAATTTCTGTGACAGATGCTTTCTTTACCTTCTGTCTGCACTTCTACACATTACCTACTGCATGCAGTACGGAAGTTACTTGGAATTCACAGTTCATTGATTCTGATCCGATTTAACAACCTAATCTAAACCTGGTAAGCAGAGAGATCTTGAAAATGAGACACTATGTACAGAATAGCTCATCCGGCAATTGAAGGACTTAATTTATCTCATTTATGCCAGAGAGTAATTATGACTACTCCCCTGAAGTCACAATGGCATGAAATTAAAGAAAGTCGAATGAATGAGGATCATCATAACCATATGGATTAGTAAAGAAACAGTTTGTATTGGGAATGGCTAATTCTGGTATTTCTTAGAAGAGGCACTTTTACATGCATATGCTTTAAAAAGAGTCTGAATTCTTTGCTCATTTGCTGCTCAGCACTCTTTGAGAACATCAGACCTCACTCCACTACTAATAAGCACAGTGACTTGGCCACCAGGCTACTTGCAATCAGAAGGCTCACCTGCGACTCCTGCTTCCTCCTCGTGTATTTACAGGTCGTTCCAATTCAGAATCATTGTCATTCTCATCTGCTTCATCTGATTCATCTTCATTATCATCTGAATGCAGATCTTTCATTATAGACCTCAATGGACCTGAAAGAGCAGAGACAATAAAATACACAAACGATGTTCACTTTGCAGTGTTCCAGGCAATGCACCTAGCTTTGTAGGTGACAGAAAACTACCCCCCCCCCCCCCATCT